ATTAATTAAAATATAATATAAATAAATAAAACAGAAAATAAAATAAATAATATATATTAATTAAAATTTTCTTTAATTAATAATAAAATAAAAAGTAATAATCACAAAAAAACAAAAAAACACAAAAAATCATAAAACATAAATGATGAAAAGCTACTTAAAGATGACATTAACACATGATAGGGATGTGATTAGCCACCCCTAAAATTATTATGTTATCGTTTGGAACTTGTATATATATGTGTCTATATATATATATATATATATTTGAAAGAGAAAATAGATCAATATATATTAATCATAGAATATTTTGAAAATCTCAAATCGCCAATCACCAGCATAAAAATAGGCTATTTCTTTAAGACGCGATTGGGTACACCGGCAGCCAACACATGGAGAAGGATCATATTCTGCCGTTAATCTTCTTCTCCTTCTTCTTACTCAAACCCATATCAGGCGCCGACGACGACTGCTGGCCAGCCTCCTGCGGTCCCACCGAACCACAAGTACGCTTTCCTTTTCGTATCATCGGCCAACAACCGTCCCGGTGCGGTTTCCCCGGTTTCCACATCTCCTGTAACAAACGAAACAGAACAATCCTCCGACTTCAGTCATCGCGCTCATACATCGTCACCAGAATCTCCTACGTTTCACAGGTTTGTCTCTAAAAAATTCAGGAAAAAAGGAGTTTAATCATGTCGCTAATCAGAACGGGTACACGATTCACAGGTCATCTACATAGATCCGCAATTCTGCCGCCCTAACCGTATCGTCGATGTCAATCTAACCGACACACCATTCGATTTCAGTAGCGTACGGAGCTACACTTTTTACAACTGCTCCTTACAGAACTTCGGTTTCATGTACCCGGCGGTGCCATTTCCTTGCCTTAGCAGCGGTAATTATTCGGTAATCTCCGTGCGAGCCGGATTGTTTCCTCCGGGAAACATGCCTTCAAGTTGTCACGAAATGAAGACGATCGCGGTGCCGGTCCGGTGGGACGGCGATATCAGAGAGGAACTGGAGTTGATGTGGTTCACACCGTATTGCAGATCTTGTGAGATGGAAGGTAGAGCATGTGGATTGAAGTCCGATGATGATCAGACAGTTTGCCTTGGTTCTTCCCGCGGTAAGTTTTCTACCTGAACTCACAGTACACATTTCAATGCACAGAGTACTACCAGTAAAGCTAGAGGTTCCTCTTAGTACACATTTTTCTGCACAAGGTACTACCCGTTTAAGCTACAGTGCTTCTTGTTGAAGACGCTTTCACTTTACCTTTTTGAGTTTTGACTTCTAATTCCTACTCCTCCAATCTCACCTTTTTAAGCAGGATTTCGTTATGTCACAAGGTTTTTGTTTTAGAAAATGTTTCAATTTTTACTCCTTTTCTTTTTATATTATAAATTTTTTACTCCTCTACTTTCAACATTGTCATTTATTTACCGGGTAAGAATTTAGTCAACAAAAACGACATCATGTACAATAATTTACTTGGTAAGCGTTAACCATATAGATTAACAATTAACAAATGTTACAATCAACTAAACCAAAAATATATAAATATTAAACTTAAAGTATCAATTTGTGAATAAAATTAGTTCAATGCTGAACACTGAAGTGGTATAAATGAAGGGTTCAAAACCAAATTTGGTGTTTTACCATTTAGGAACATTATATTCACATGTGAATTGATGTTGGATTGGAGAGATTTTAGGGCAAGTTCTATTTCATTTTCATCATTGGTTTTAAGATTTGAGTTATCTGTTTATGGTAACAACGTATTTTAGTTCAATTTTTATCGAACACATTGAACACTGGAAAAAAAACACAATAGCACAATGCTTTTAGTTTCGTCAATTTTAGGTAAATAATATGAAGAAAAAAAATCCCTGTCATGATTTTAGCAGAATATGCCACTTTGACTTCGACTTTTACTTATTGATGATTGATTTTTCACATACAGGTATTCCAAGGCGCGCCAAGTATGGATTAAGCATAGGCATCGGTGTTCCTGCGTTAGTATGCCTCATTGGGCTTGTATGCTTCACAGCTTCTAGAGCGAGGGACTATAACCATACTCACCATCAAAGCATCGACCTTTTCTCTATCACAATCATCCCACAACCACCCTCTGTGAGGGGCTTGGATGGGCCCACGATCGAGTCTTACCCAAAGACCGTGCTCGGTGAGAGTTGTAGATTGCCTAATGACGATGGTACTTGTGCCATATGTCTTTCAGACTATAAGCCTAAAGAGTCCTTAAGAACAATCCCAGAATGTAATCACTACTTTCACGCAGACTGTATAGACGAGTGGCTCAAGTTGAATGCAACTTGTCCCGTGTGCAGGAATTCACCTGAAAGTTTGATGATTACAACGTGTTCTTCGGCATCATCAACTTCTGTAGATTCATCGTAGAAAACCAATCAACAATCTTGAGTTTTGATACCTGTTACACATATAGTTGTATGTATAAAAACAATATTGTATGATAAACTCTTACAGATTCATAGAGAATACCAACACAAGATTTATAGGGTGTACAATGGTTACAACTTTGAAGGAATATTTTTCCCCTAAGAATTACCATCTTATTAGCATTATTAGGGCTTTGCTTTATGGGAGTGAAGATATATACATCTATACTACCTTATAATCAGATTTATCAAAAGTTTTAAAAACAAATTTTAATGCACAAAGTACTATATATTTATATACAAAGTCTTAAAAACAACTTATAATACATTAAGTACTACTACTTTATGCATTCAGTGTTAAAATAACATATAGTACAAGTTACCAATGCACATTATTACATTTTCTTTTCTTGTTCCCAAGATACCTTTGACACATTTCACTCATGTCTTCTCCTCATCCCGCAAGGTCAGATTCAAACTAATATTCATCATGAGTTATTAAAAGTTTTCTCATTCATCTCTCATTCAATTGCTCTAGAACTCTCGGTCTTGCTCTCGATCTCTTGATTTTTTGCCCTTGGTGTAAATCGAACACATTTGTGGAGTCGTTTAAATATGTTGGATTTTAAATATATTTGATTTTAAATTGTCATACAAAATTTTCTGTTGATAGACTCTAATTGGAACTATAACTCTTATTTATACAAATTGTATTAATATGTAAAGACCAATTGTAATTTATATCATCATTAAATTTTATCTAATAAAACCAGTGAAACTTCAAAATCATTAAAATTCACGGCTCCCGCTGCATTACACAGATACACATCTAGTGTGTGTATATATATATATATGCATATCTGTTTAATGAAAACAATTTTCTGGTAGTTTTGATGCTTTGGACGTGCTATGTTTCCAATTATTAGTATCCAAGTCAATAAATGCATATAACCATTAATTAGAAGTGCACGTTTAATCTATTTATGAATTGTTTGATTGGGACCCACTGTTTGCACTTTTGCACTCCTTGTCGCTTTTTCTGAAAGAAGATTCAACTAACCAAGGTTAAAACACGTATATGTGTTTAATAGATAGAATGGGTTAGAGGCTATTTACCGAACACTTACTCATGTAGGTGCTTACCAAGTCATGTTAACTTACTGGATGAATATTGTAAGAACCAAAATCTTACCCGGTCAGAGCGAAACAAAGACCATGAATCTTACCGGGTATGTGCGGGCGACGACTCTTACCACGATAAACGCTTATCGGGTAAATTGTTGCATACAATATCGTTTTGGTGGACTAAAATCTTACCCGATACGTAAATAATAGTGTTAAATTCTACCGTTATGCACTTAACGGGTAAGTGTTTGGTAAACGGCACCTTACTCTTCGTATTATTATGATTCAATAGTGTGTATTCATGCTTATTAACCGTGGACAATTACCAATGATATCATAGCCATGGGGTCCCTCTGCCGCCTGAAGCCATCATCCCTATTGGATATCGATTTCAACCATCTTTTGTCACCAAAAACACGGGAAAAAATTCTACCTATGAATAAAATCATGGAAGTGGATGTTTTATTCCGAGCAGATCATATTAGAGGTTCAGGTCATCGTCTTTGCTAATTCATTACTCATTGATGTATTAGTTTTTGTAACATTAGTTTAATTCTATTTCAGTTAATAAACGATAAATGAACGATGGTAAATCGTGTTTCTTTTCACTTAGATACCGAATCTCCATTAATAGTAATAGACCCAACTGAAGAGCCGATTGTGGGTATTGGAAAGGGACGAGATCCAGGAAATAGATCATGGATGATGATACAGATTTAAAGCCGAGTGAAAATAAGTATTGGACTTTTTATCAAGGGACTTCTCCAAATATTGTTAAAACTCAGATAGTTTATGCACATATGAAAAGCTAGATTTTCTATTGTTAAAACTACCGTTGTTTATCAATCTTGGGCTTATTTGGTTTATCTGTTATTTTCAGGGAATTAATTTGATTGAGTTAATATTATTATGATATTCTTTTGTTAATATCAATCAGCTCATAACAGTACCTGCAAAATACAAATAACTACCATGACAAGATTCGAAAAATTACAAACATGCTTTCAACAAATACCAAAACGAAAGAGCAATTCCTAACATGAAAACGACTCAGTTATTGAACGTCAATGTCATCCTAAGATTAGTATAAAGCAATAGTCGACATGCTCCAATCATCCAATAAAGATTCAGACATGGTGGTACACTGGGACAGTCGTTTAATGGTGTTTGTACCGGTACCAACTCATTCGAACTATTTGGTAGGGGAATTATAACCACATCTCAGGAATCCTTCCATTTGAACATTCAACACAACATCCACTGATCAAGCTTCAAATCATTATTTCCAGTAAAACGTCAAATACTTCTTTTCACCCGGCTTTAAACCTATCTTATCTTATCATATATATATATATATATATATATGTATGTATATATATATATATGTATGTATATATATATGTATGTATGTATATATATATGTATGTATATATATATATATATATATATATGTATGTNTATATATATATATATATATATATGTATGTATATATATGTAGGGGCCCATTCAAGAGAGAATTGATTAGTTTGTGGTAACTGTGAGATCCAATCTCAACCACAAATCAACGGATAAATTAGGAAATTAATCATTATAGTAGCTTGAGTTAAAAATTATAATTAGAGAGCATTTTAGGCATATTTAAAAAACTCCTCTCTCATCTCTCCGACCTCCAATCTCCGGCCTCCGGTGAACAAAAATCCGGCAGATACCAAGTACAAAGATACACAATGTGATACTCATTGTGATATATTGTGATACCCATTGTGATATATTGTGATATCCATTGTGATATATTGTGATACCACTTGAGTACCACTGTATATCACAATGAGTATCACATTGTGTATTTTTATGATTACTTGGTATCTGCCGTATTTTTGTCCACCGGAGGCCGGAGATTGGAAGTCGGAGAGATGAGAGAGAAGAGAGGAGAGAAGAGTTTTTTAAAAATACCTAAAATGTCCTATAATTACAATCTTAACCCAAACTATCATAATTATTAATTTTCTAATTTATCAGTTGATTTGTGGTTGAGATTGGATCTCACAGTTACCACAAACTAATCAGTTCTCATTTGATTAATCCCCTATATATATATATATATATATATATATATATATATATATATATATATATGTATATATGTACATATATATATATATGTATATATGTACATATATATATATATATGTATGTATCGAGAGAGAGAGATTTAACAATTTTGGAAGAAGTCCTTGATAAAAACGTCAAATACTTCTTTTCACCTATATTTACACCTATATCATCCATGATGGATTTGTCGGATCCCGTCCCTTTCCAATGCCCACAACCGGCTCTTCGGTTGGGTTTATTACTATTAATGGATGCTTGATATCAAGGTGAAAAGAAATATCATTCACCATCGTTCATTTGTGGTCTATTATGTGAAATGGAGTTAAGCTAGTGTTTATAACAATAATACATCAATAAGTAATGAATTAGCAAAGACGATGACCTGAACCTGTAATGTTATTTGATCAGAATGGTGGGTAATAAGCATCTTCCATAATTTTATTCATAGGCATAATTTTTTCCCATATTTTTTAGTAACAAGCAGTAACACATATGCATTATTTGCCATACAGTTGAAATCGATATCTATAAAGAAGAGCATTAAGGAAGATGGTTTTAGATGGCGGAGGGACACCTACAGAGGCGGACCTACCCTTTAGGATATGGTTGTCGTGAAGCCATAAAAGTGTAGGGCTTAACTGTAAATTTTTAAGGCATATAACTGTGAAATCATAAGTTCTTTGGGATGAAAACATGAGATTTTTCAGGGCGAAACCATAAACATTAAAACCTTTGGGGAGTTTAAATGAAAATTAAGAAAAATAAACAGTCCACCATCCAAAAAACTTGAGGATGATGGTTGGAAATTAGTTACATTTTTTAACCTTTCAAAGACTTTAACAATTTTAATTTATTTCCATTCCCTTTTCACTTTTTGTTTTATACCATTATCACATCAATTAATCCATCGCCACCTTTTGTAATCTAAAATCCCTAACGACTATGATCCACCAATACACGTAGACTCATGAGGGTGGATTTAAGAAGTTATTTTCGTAAAGACCCTCAACTTTATAAGAAAATGATTTTTCAAATATACTTATTAACATGAATATTATTCACCTGGAACCACAAGGGTGGTGCCTGATTGGTTTGAGCTTGACTCCAAAGGTCAAAAGTACCAGAAGGTCTCAGGTTCAAATCCAAGGAGAAATAAAAATCCCCTTGTGGCCACGGAGGTTCAAATGCGGTGACTCCGGGCTATCTGCAAAGCAAGTGGTTGCCCTGGAACTAGTCAGCTCGTATAACGGGTTGGATATCCAGGTTAATCCAACAAAAAAATATATTATTCACCTGGATCCTTCTCGGATGACCCCTTTCCCTGGGGTTAATTTCAGGTCAAGAATTCCATACTGCATTCCTAACCTTCTTCTGGCATCTTTGTACTTTAGCTACAAGGGATTAAAACCTGCCTCTTAAATTCTTCGTACTCTCTTTATCATGATCATGAATATGAACAAAAATGCAATATATTTGGAAAAAAAAAAGCAGGGTACTTAACGAATTTGTGTTGCTTCTGATCCTTTTTGGTACTGATAGATAATTATTTGAACATATTAATACACAAATGGTGGTCCATGGCATATCATTTATCCTGCTATCCTACAGCTACATCAAGCCGATTCAACCAAGTCTTTCTGCAACTAGCTAGCTTATGTCTGGTAGATTTTGTTTGGAAATTTCCGGAAGTTCCAAAAAATAGCCCGAGAAAGAAAGACCTTTGTCAGGTATATATCCTTTTTCATGAGTGCGTAAAGGAATTCAAATCACAGCAACAAGATATGACTATTAATAGCAGGGAATGGATGAGAATAAAAAATACTTTTACATGAAAAGGCATTAGTTGATACGTTTATATTTTGAAATAAATCATAAACATCCTTTGATTTTCCTTGATGTTATTTCTATTTAAAATATTTTATTGTTTTATTGTATGAAATTTTATATAATGCAACTAAAATACTTTTAAGATCAGCGATTTACGACGATTACAATGAAACTTTAAGATTTGAAAACCGACAAAGTTTTATTTACAGGACTGATTTGATACCAAATATATTGTTATTGTCAATTTTAATGCTTAAATGGATTTATAAGTTATGCAACGCATATATCTTTGGACTCAACGTTTAACATAGATTCTAATAACGCTTTCAGATTCGAAAAAAGAATAATTTTTTTAATTTTTTAGTATGATTTGAATACGATGATATAAATATATCATTTATGGATTATAGAAATATCATATAAATACCAAATTTCATATTTATATACGTTAAAATATCATATTACCATAAATGTTAAATGGTTAGAATTACGACTACGAAAATATATACAACTCAAAAAAAATATGTAACAATGACATATCTATAGCCTATATTTTAGATTTTTTTATATTTAAAATAATATGTTTATCTTGTATTTGATTATGTTTATCTGCAATTAGTTACACGAATTCAGATGTGCAACTTTAATAAGTTGTACTTACGCACAATCTACTTGCAATATTGAGTTTTAAGTAATATGCATTAATAAACAATACTTTACGCATAAAATGTGGTTTTTAAGAGTTTTTGTCAAATACTTTATAATATAGTATAGATAATATAAAATATTATAATATATATATATATACACACACACACATATACGGTATCTTCTTAATTAAGATTTAGAAAAAGAAGAAAAAAATGATGATATCAAAAGCACGTAGCAACCATCAAGATTTACTTTTGAAGATCATTCATATCATGAAGTAACCGTCTCAAAATTTTCTATATAAATACATAAGACAAGGTTTATGCAACATACAAACACAAATATCATCAAACTTACGTCACAATAACGTTAAGATTAAGCAGTCAACAATCCAGGTGAGTATGTTATGATATTTATTAGAATATGTATATATTATATAAATATTTTTTTATACATTTCAATTAAATATTTTTAGTTGTTATTCTGTTTAAAATAATATATTATTTTACCAAATTTTTAGCTGTTAATCTGTTCAAAACAAAATGTTATGACAAAATATTCTATAGTCATTCTGCATGAAATAATATTTTGACAAAAGCACGTGTTTTATCTGTGGTGTATGAAATTTTTTATGCTATATGTTAAATCCTAACAAGGTATGAAACAATAGCAAAGATATTTTGACGTGTTTTAATAAAAGCATGTGTTTACATGCGGGGTATGAAAATTTTTGTGCATGGGGAACAAGAACGAAGCACGTCATGCAAACTGACCTCGAGAATCTAGGGATCTGGAGAATGTTTGGCATACTTACACATATGAGATCTCGAACACTAAAAGAAGATGATATTTTTTTTACAGAAATGTGTTTATGTATAAATGTTATGCATGATTATGAGAAGTGTATTGAATTGTTATTTATGCACCAACTTATATCTAAGCTCAATTCGATTATTCTGCTAATTATTTATCATGGTCGATATAACCATATGAGATGATGTCCAAAAAAGTTGAAACAACTAAGTTGTGGACTTCCAAAAGGTCGCAAATTATATCTGCTCTGAACGGATCCTGGCTTCCCATGATACAGACCTGACTATTTCATATTGGTAGTCAGATGGATCAGTAAGAGGTGGTGATTTGAATATAATGAAAAAGATATGTCGAGTCATATAAAAAGATTATGATGTTATAGAAGAGGGGATGTCATAGATTTGACCTAATTTTATATCAACTATGTATCGGGTTAATCCGGGTTAAGTTTTTGGATTTTTTCGGGTTGGGTTGGTCGGTATTTTAGGCACCCCTACTTGTCTTCCCTTTAACGGATAAGATTCTTAGTCCTTGTTACATTTACTCGCTAAAGTAATCGGTAAGCGTTTACCAAGATAAGTGTATAGTAAACGACCCCAAATAAACAATCATATATTTGTTGTCACGGTTAAACCATCTTATTTATAAATATTTTAATAAAGAAGAAGCCGTTTAAATATAAACCATATAAATGTTAAATACCTTACAAACCAATCTTAATCATCGATACAACTTATTAAATCAGTGTCAAACTTATCCGCAAATTATCCCTCTCCCCTCTATGTTTATCTGTATTATTATTATAAAGCATTTGACGAAAACTCTTAAAAACCATTTTTTATGCATGAAGTATTGTTTATTGATGAAATTTCTTAAAATTCAAGATTACAAGTAAATTATGCGTAAATACAACTTATTAAAGCTTAATGTTTGAATTCGTGTAACTAATTGTAAATAAACATAGTCAGAGAATAAACATCTCATTTTAAATATAAAAAATCTAAAATATAATTAGTATAATCATTGAATTCTAATCGGATACTTAATTATTATCTTAAAAGAAATAACTTTTTTAAACCAAAAATAAATTAGTTCGTTATTGAACTTCAATTAAATTATAATTAAAAATTGAATTAAAAATTTGATAATAATATCGATTATTTTTTAAATTTTTTTATAACATCTTCAAATTTATATTTATTTAAAAATAAAAATATTTTATTTTTTTCAAAACCATATGAAATCGTATTATAACATTGATAAACCCAAAATATAAAGAAAAACATTAAAATCCCCTTCTAATTTTATAAAATTGATAAAGTCAAATAGGTTAAAATTTTAAACTATCATTATTTTATATGGATTAATTAAATATTTTTTACGGGAAATTTATGTGGATTTTCAGTGGTGTCACCAGTTTGTTACGATCAGAATTCTCAGAAGAAGTTGTTATGATCAGAAATTTTCTCTCCGCCACTTTCCTCCACCACTAGCCACCAACAACGTCCCCGCATCAACTCTCTCCGCCGCCGCCGATTACCAATAAGCCACTCTCCTTCATATTAAGTTTTCCATACACATACGTGGAAAAGTGAGATTAGATTATGGAGTCGAAGAAATTTATAGTAGAGGTTGAACCGGCCATAGAGGAGAAAGATGGAAAGCCATCAATGGGACCTGTTTACCGTAGTGTGTTCGCTAAAGACGGCTTTCCACCTCCGATAGATGATTTAAATTCCTGTTGGGATATTTTCCGGTGAGTGTTTGTTTAGATTTGCACCCTACTTTAAATTCTGCATTTGTTTAAACTGATTAACATTTCGATTTGAATGGAAGGACCAATGTGATAATGCATGTCGTTTTATTATGATTGTTATTATGTTATTATATCTGAGTGCTCATCTTTCGATGCATATACCCTGGTTTTCCTTGCAAAATGCAAACCTTCAAGCGGCTTGTGAAGATGTCAAAAGAACATTAAGTCGAGTAATTTTGGATAAACCGTGGAGATATAAATGCGAAAAAGGCATACTTAGCATCTTTTGCACAAGTTCATTCCTCGTAATCTAATGTATCCATTGCATTTTGACAAGAACTATGATTTGTTTGCAATTGATAATGTTAAGGATCATGGCATTCGATATTTGAAATTGCAATTGGAGCCCTTTAATTCAAAATTTGGTCCGCTTTTCTTCAACTCCAGTTGTCTGACGTGCATTTAGGTGAACTTTGTTTAAGTAGGCTGTGACTCGGTATTATTTTTAACTTAATACACTTCCAAATCTATCAATTTGAAACAAGGAATTTGCTAAATGTTGCTAAAAGAATGAGTTGCAATCAGTATTCATGCTGTCTTTAGTGATTGATATAAGAGATTGGAGACAATATAAATGCAAAAGGAACCATGATACTTAGACATTTTTTTTCCAAAATCGCTCTTTCTTTCAAAGTAACCTGTCTTTTGCCCCCAAGAACAATGTTTTGTTTAAGTTGTTTGCACAAAAAACCAAGTAGAATGGTTCAAAAAGTCAATCACTTGTTTTTCTTTCTCAACGGTTAAATCTGGGCCATTGAAGTGTTAAGAGGATCTATTTTACCTTGACCCTACTCCCGAGATTCATAGTGAACTGTTTTCAGCTGTTACAATTGTGTTATGTAAAATCTTGTTTACTGGACTACTAAAACAAAATCCACAGTTTTATTTTGCTTGAAAATGCTTCAGATGTTCAAGTTGGATTTTTTATTGGAATAAATTATCGTCTTTCTGAGATAATAAGCTAGAACGTAACATGCATGTCCACATGCATACATGCTATCTGCTTTTGTTCGGGTTCCTTCCTCTTATGTGTCTGTATGTGCCTGCATGTTGAATGAACTTATTCAGATTTTCTAAAGAAGTGGATATATTATAAAGCAGAGAAGATATAAGAGCTTAAAAGCGGAGGTTGTTTTCAGTTTGGGAGGTCATGTAAAGCAGTTTCTTATGACTAGTGAAGTTTGATTTTGTTAACCATCACTAGTATGAGAATATCATAGTATTTTCCCAGAGAGTTGCTTCCTTCCTTGCACCCTCACTTTGTATATGACGGTTGCACAATTTTTAACATGAAGGATGGTATCAAAGGTTGCTCATTTGATGATCCTTGATCTGTTTGCCGGAACTTTATCTTGTAGTTCAAGAATATTTCCCCAAAAACTAAAGAAGAAATTTGCTGAAATGTTTGTGACTTGATGTTGTTACTTGTATAGATAATATTGGAATTCTAGATAGAGTGCTTGAATTTTTACATACTCTGTCATCCATTGACTAGATAAGAAACACAAGTTTGTTCCACAGGTGTTGGAAGTTGTATATATTTCTTACTGCTGTGGCATGTTTTAAAATGTTTGTTTGGTCATGTTACAGCTTGTCAGTGGAGAAATATCCAGATAACAAAATGCTTGGGACCCGTGAATTTGTGGATGGAAAGGTATAATGATGCCTGCTTTGGATGAGAATGTCCTTTTATTTTTGTGTTTGTGGTAGTGTGGTTTCTGTCTTCCATTTGACTACAGTTATAAGTACTTCTGTGCTCTGCAGCATGGGAAGTATGTGTGGTTGACGTACAAACAAGTATATAACAAAGTGATACTGGTTGGAAATTCTATCCGTGCTTGTGGAGTTGAGCCAGTAAGTGACCTTCCTATTATAATTAGTATAGCATGTGACATCCATTTTATTGCTTGTACCGTGTGTATCAGCCCTGTATCAATAGCTCCTAAAGAGCGACCAAATTCAAGCCTGAATTCTCTTCTTTTCTTCCCATCACTCAATGCATAGAAGTCTTAACCTTCCTTGGCCATGACCATTGCTCTCTTTTGATACACATTTATCATTCTAATAACAGAATTGCAAGATTGCATATGATTTTCTACTCTTAATCAAATGATTAAGAGGGTCCAGCACTTCGAGAAGCCATGATCTCCCAAGGCTCTCGCCCTTTCTGTGTTTACAAATCGGATGCCTTTGCCCTCTCCCCCTCTCACCTATTTAACAAAATAGTCACTGCTACAGTTCCCTGTTTACCCCTTCGTAACAGAATACCCTGAATTACTATACTTCCCCTGCACAGCCCTTGCACCTCCTTTATATCTTCTGTTATCACAGCATTGCTATTTATTATAACTACTACCCTAACTCCTAGCATACGTACCCAATAGCAGTTTCCATGGTATAACATCTTTTCTATGTTATACTTGCTAGACTATTTGATGGACACAGTTGAATGCTTTTCTGTTTCACATTGTCGGATATGTATTTGCTTTTGATTACTTGGTTGACAGGTATTTTTATTTACTCACAATCGATTGGTGATGTTAGGGAGGAAAGTGTGGTATCTATGGTGTCAATTGCCCTGAATGGATTATGAGCATGGAGGTACTTTATTATCCTTATAGGTTGCTAAGAATCACTGCTTGCTAAAAACCAAGCTATTAGCAACATTTCAGCTAATCATACACACACACACACACACACACACACATATATATATATATATATATATATATTTACGCATCTAGCATTGTATATCATTTATGTTGTTCTGAAATTCATCATGTTGATAGCCTAGTTGCGGTAATTGATGTTTCCTTTGCTCATACTGATCATCATTAAACCCCTAATTCTGCTATCAGTTGAATATTAGGTCCTTAGAAGTCAACTAGTTAACTTTTTCATGATTATAACCTTTCTAGAATCATGTTCTAATACCCATAAATTGATGCAGGCATGTAATGCTCATGGCTTATACTGTGTGCCATTATATGATACCTTAGGTAAGTGCTGGATCTTTTTGAGCCCAATGGTTCTTAAGATTTCTAGTTTCAATCAAGCCCTGTCTATTTAGTTTTATCTCATGCATACATTATAGGACCGAGGCTTATGTACTTTTCCAATGATTTGTTTCATGTAGGTGCTGATGCAGTAGAATTCATCATATGCCATGCCGAGGTTACAATTGCTTTTGTAGAAGAAAAAAAGATCCCTGAGGTAATTGGTGATGTTCATTCACCCTTCATCTGCATTTGTTAAGATTCTCATTGAATTTACCTCCGCATTTTGGTGTGTTTCATAAATAGGAGGTCATCTGTCCCCAAATGCTTGGGGTATATTTTTGTACAAATGAAGCTTTTATAGTCTCTAGAATACAAAATCTTTATATCTTAGAAGAAATTTCATTTTTATCAATAATATCTTTTTGGAATTTCAGGTACTAAAAGCATTTCCGAAAGCTGGAGAATATCTGAAAAGTAAGTTACTTATACTGTCCATTTTTCAAAAATTCACCACATCTACTAATACACATATCTCCTTTAGCTATTGTGAGCTTCGGAAAAGTTACTCCTGAGCAAAGGGAACAATTCAACAAATTTGGTTTGACAATACATTCATGGGATGAGTTCTTGTCTTTGGTAAGCTTTTACCACTCGGACTGAGTGTAATTGAATTATTATCATGTGCACTCTTCTTTTTTTGGATAAAGTGTTGTCTTCTTTTTTGTGTGGATAAAGGGCAATCTTTGTTTTCTCTATGTTTACACATGACTCAATATCGTGCATATGTCTTATTCCTAATCTAATTGTTAGTTTTATGGAACTTCAACAGTTCTTCTGCATCCTTTCTGCTAAAGAAGTTAATCTATCATTTTTATGTAAAAACTTGCGCTGCAATGACTACCAACAAGCACTCAATTCTTGCACTATAATTATTTCTCCATGCTTTGCATACTCGAAGACATCTATCACCAATATACTGTTGAAACTCGAAAGTAGTCTTCAATGTGGGTATGATTGTCCCCCATGTAGGAAGAAGAAGAAATATGTAGTGACTTTACATATCCCATATTTCTGTTGAATGGGTTAGTAGAGGGGACAATTAAATTTGGGCTTTGCAATGCTTTGATTGGACCAAGTATAATCATCTTTACATCATAGACTTAACACTTGATTAAAATTGACATTTTTCACAGTGTCCGGATTCTTTTATGATAAATGCATATTTTATTTAATTATTTTTCAGATAATAACAATGACAGTTATTTTTAACTGCCATTAAACTGTCTTTATTTTGTACTAAATCATCAATTCTTCTGTATAAGATGTTCATGGAGGATGAATTATCTACCATGCTTTGCATCCTAAGTTATGGAAGTAACTTAGCCTTGTAAAGGCAGCAACAGTGTGGGAGCCAATATCATCCAAAGCTCGCTTTAATTAATCCCCTATCAGTTTGTATAATCCTATTATTACTATTTTCCAATATATAGTATGCTCCTTTTGAAGATATTTACGACTGCCAATAGCCCCATGGCATAAAACTACAACCTAAGGAAGGATAACTAAGGAACTGTGAACCATATTTTCTAGTGATCTTGGCTTATTTCTTAATACAGTTTGCTCCCCAATACTCAAGCTCGCAAATGTTATTATGTTGTCACATGGATGATTTTTGCAATAAAACTGGTCACCCTTGATGGGATGAGTTAAGATTTAGTGCAAGAACAGACACATAATATAGTGAACTAACACGTTACACAAATTGAAGTCCATGCATCAAGATGATGGAACTCTTTCCCAACCCTTCTTTATCTAACACAGTTACAGAGTAAATGAATGTGTTGGCTTCTTGCAGCAACTTTCTCAAACCTGCTATGCAGCTTACCATTGCTTTAAAGTCCATCAACTATGGCAGTCACAACCCCAGTGTGCAGCTTCTTTCCACTTGAATTTAACTGCTTTGGGACATCAAGGATAATATAACTGCTTTGGGTGATCTTTAGCCGGTTGTTCCAATACCTTTGGTAGCATTTTCACATGTCCTTTTGGAATCACTTCAACTCTTTAACCAGTTATTCTTCATAAAGACTTTGGCTTGTTTTACCACAAATACACTCTTGGTCCGACTTTTCTTTGGGCTTCCAAGCTATGAATGACTTTGCATGGCATTAACCACCTCTGATTAGGATCAAACCACATAGCAAGAACCTTATGCCCAGAAGCGGACCCATAATTTTTTTTAAACGGTGGCACCGTTTAACCTTAAGGGTGAAAGCTAAAGAAATTTTTAGCAAAATCTTTATAGCTTAGTTGCTCGTATTTCCAAAGAAAGGTCACGGTTCGATTCCTTGCAACTCTGATTTGGACCAATTTTTTTCTATAAACAAAAGCTATAAGAAAACTTATCATTAAAAGCTAAAAAATGGAATCTTGTTAAGTGCAGGATTCGAACTCGAGCTCTCTTGAAGGGAACACTTCAATTGAACGCCTAAAACCATCTCGGCTGCCTCAAAATTTTGTCATTATTATAGTTTTAAAAGATATAGGAGCACACAACGAAACATCATGGTGGCACCCTTCATGAACATAATTTTTTCCCACTGTGATGGAACCATGAAGCGGTGGTCCATGCCACCGTATCCCCTAAGCAACTGACCATGGTTCCTATACTTGTTCAGTTTAAAGCCAATCAAAATATTTGCTTTCTGATATGAGGCATTAATGTAGCTGAAGAGGACCCTTCTTTCCTAGCTGAGTTTCATGGTCCAGAACCTAATGATTTCACTTGGATGGAAACATCTTCAGGTGAGGAGGTGACATGTAGAAGAAACAGATCGGATGACCAAATGACTGAGCAGGACCCGATGTGAGAGAACCCATAATACGGAGTGTTTGTCCTCCTTTATAGCAAGGAGAAGAAGCTAGTCCTCACCTTCCCAATGAACTGTGGGATCAGGATTTTGTGGGAAATCTCCTGGAGCTCACTGTATATTTCTTTGAACCAAGTTAAGTATCCAGTAAAAGAGGAACCACCATGTTGAAACCATGAATAAGCTTGTGACATACAGTAGGCATTACATGTTGATGACTTCGCATAAAATGACAAAGAAACATGCTATTGGAGTTCCTTTGTGAGAGCATTGACTGAAACATCAGGCTTTGTTGCTTTCCATAGAGCCATAAGAACACCACAATTATGAGTTGCAGGGTCTGGTGGGTTCTAACTATCATTTCACAGGTCTTTTAGTCCAGTTTCGACAAAGATGGACCACTGAACCTAATTGAGCCATTGAGTTTGATTGGGATTCAAAATAGGGGAAAGGTTAGTTGACTTGCCAGTCCGGTAAATCCCTTAACTTCTACTTGATTATTAATCACTATAAATAAAATAAATATGGAGATCAATTATGGTAAGAACTGGAATAGATCAGGAACACATAAACTGGGGTTGAGAATTTGATGTCTGATTACCCATGTAGAGGGTCAGACAATCTATATAACAGAAGCAGATAAAACCTCCCAAGGTTGCATGGCTGGTTGGGATTGGGCCAGGACTTGGAATTGTTGGTGAAGAGGAATCGCAGGACAAGTATATATTACTGGCTACTGCCTATCAGGAAAGGTTCTGGCCGAGGGGACCTTTCCAGCTTTTCAGGTTGCAGAAGCCAATGTTTTTCACAAACAGGGACAAATACTGACATGCAGTGGGAGGGGCAGCAAAAGCCTGGTTAAAACGCCTAAGGATGGCAAGAGCCCAATAGATGGCCTTGGTGATTGGCAGACTCAAACCGCACTTTGGATAGTTCTGACCCACCAGGCATTTGGCAATGGTGGCAACTGACAGCTGAAAGAGGCAGCATTGGCAACATTTAAGCTGTTTGGTGACTCCACAAACAATTAAGGGCCTAGGTCTTGATTATCAAAGCTTTAGCTGTGACACTATGTAGGTTTGGATGAATACTTTGCTATGAGGTAGAATCATCTTTAAATAGAGTACATAAAGTGAACTTGTTAGGCCATAATGCATACAGGAATTCCGAATGTAACATAACATAAACCTATCCATGCACTCAAGAGAATGATATAAACCAACGCCTATTAAGTTGGTTTCAAATTTTCATTAAATATAAAGAAATGTGATGAAGGTATTCAAAGCAATTGATGTGAAAGTAAACATCTGATGAAAGTCAGTAGTCAAATGGCATATAGTAATTTTTCATATTGTTGTGGTCATGTGGCAATTGGACAGAAACCAAGGGAGGTTAATAGAAATAATCTAAAGAGATACAATCCATAGGAATCAATAGAAAAGGCAAATCTTTTATGATACACCAGATCCGGCTCGGTTATGTTGATCTCCATGACATTTTCAAGGAAAGCACTTATTGGGATTTTCCAATTATCTAATATTTGATTAAGTGATGTGTTTGTCATAAATTTAGTTCGACACATTTTGTTGGTTTGCAGGGCAACAACAAACAGTTTGATCTGCCAGTGAAGAACAAATCTGACATCTGTACGATCATGTACACGAGTGGAACGACTGGTGATCCTAAGGGTGTTCTGATTTCCAATAACAACATTGTTACACTAATATCTGGTGTCCAGCGTCTGCTAGAGTGTGCTAATGAGTCAGTGAGTTCCATACCCTTTTAGTTGATTCAGTACTTGTTCAATGTAAAACATAGCTAACAAATGATGCTCAAAGTTTGGTCTTTTGGATGCTTACATGAAGGAAAAAAGAACACATTTTCATGCTCTTCTATACTTGCCATTTTACAGTTGACTACGTATGATGTATATCTCTCATTTCTACCTCTAGCACATATATTTGATCGGGTGATTGAAGAATGTTTTATAAATCATGGGGCTTCAATAGGATTTTGGCGAGGGGTAAGATCACAAGGTGTTTTGTATTTGTTAGCAGATGCATCATGTTATAATTTGTCCCATGACATATCCAGGATGTCAAATTACTGATTGAAGACATTGGGGTGCTGAAACCTACTATTTTCTGCGCTGTTCCGCGGGTCTTGGATAGAATTTATTCAGGTATTTTGCTTTTAATGATAAGGTTCCTTCATATATTATTCATTGGTAAATTTCATCTTTTGGGAACTGAATTTGACATAAAATTAGGATTGAGAGTTGGCATGGACTTCTTTCTTTTTCCTTGATGGTTAATAATGTTGTTAAATGGTACAAGAAAGAAAAAAGAACTAACATAAGACGTCAAACCGAATCTCCGTATTGCTATGCTGTGTTTCCGTTTTCCATTTTCTATGGTTATCAAGAGTTCTAGACCCATAGATTTCAGAGAGAGAAACAATTACATGATAAAGTTTAGCTAACCAAGAGTAATCCTGGAATTGTTATGACTGAAACTGGATTTGTTTGTCTTTTGTGACAAGTTACATATAAAATGACGTTTGATATGAGGTATGGTAAGATTTACATATTGGATGGTATTCTTAACACCGTTCAAAATTGGAGAAAAAAATCTTGGAAAGCTAAGAGGTGAGAGGATGAGACACATTTTTTATGCTTGCTCATATATGCATAAGAAGCTGAAATAGAAGGGAGCGTGACCTTTAATAAACGATGGTACAATAGAACATTAGATAACTAAGGTAATTTCCCAATATGTTGCTCAAAGAATCCATGGTCACTTGAAAAATTCTAATGCTAAATGTTCTTGAATGAGAGGAACAAGGAAAGAAATTTAATTACACACACAGAACTCTTTTTGCTCATACGATGAATGATGTCAGAGAATCATTTATGCCTCATCATATTGGTTCATTTTCTTCCCATGTGAATTTTTACCTGCTATTACTATTACTAATTGCTTTCTTTTAATCAGGTTTGCAACAGAAGATTTCTTCTGGTAGCTATTTCAAACATAAATTGTTTGATATAGCCTATTCATAGTGAGTTTTCCTATAACAAGCCTTTTCTTCTTTTTCTTATGGAACAAGATTGAATATTTGGATTTGATAATTTCCTTTGGGAATATGCTTAACTGCTTTTATGAACATCTTTTAATTACATACTATTTCAGGACAGAAGGTTGTAAGAAATAAGCGCATATGTGCAGCTTCTAATGTTTTTGTTTTTTGTTTCTATCATTTATATAGGAGTCATGCACCTTAATTCATTTATGACATATTTGAGGCTTTCCCACTTCAAACAATACTTTCAAGTTTCATCCACCAATATATTGTATATATAAATATATTGCTTTAAAGTATTTCCTTGCACATGTTCTAGAGCTTTCTTTCCTTATCATTGTTTTGGATTTGCTATTGGAAACATATGCAGTAAGTTGCATCATATGAAGGGTGGGAGTAAACATTCAGAGGCATCTCTATTAAGTGACAGACTTGTTTTCAGTAAGGTTGGATATCAACATAAAAGAGCTCCTATATCATCAGTTTTTAATGTGTTAATTGTGGCACGAGTCTTATTGTGTTCCTCATTTCTGCAGGTTAAGCAGGGGCTAGGTGGAAGAGTACGCATTATTCTATCAGGGGCTGCCCCACTTGCTCCACATGTAGAAAGTTTTCTGAAAGTGGTTGCATGCAGTCACGTCCTTCAAGGATATGGTACTTCCCCTTCCGAAGTTATTTCTTTACTAAGACTAGGTCACCAGGAACAAGTTTCAGCCTACTGTTTCCCTATTATGTTTATAGATTAGTAAGTAATTTCTGGTATCATGAAGTGTTCTTTTTATACTACACTAAAATTGGCTTTATAGGACACCAAATATATCTAAATGTCCTAATAGAATACCAACCAATTGTGCGTCCTATGTAGAAGTGTTACCATAAGTTGATAGGACGGTTTTGGGCATCCTAACAAGTTTCTATAATCATCCATATTTTTTTCAGGATGCAGACGGACTTTAAGATTTGAACCTTTTGGCTTCTTATTGTGACTGATCCATGCAATTTATTTCTGTAAACCACAATGTAGGTCTGACTGAAACTTGTGCGGGATCATTTGTTTCGCTGCCAAATGAAATGAGTATGGTGGGTACAGTTGGACCTCCAGTACCAAATTTGGATGCTCGTTTGGAGTCTGTCCCTGAAATGAATTATGATGCTCTTTCAAGCATGCCACGTGGAGAAATATGCATTAGGGGGGGTACTGTGTTTTCAGGGTATCACAAGCGTGAGGACCTTACAAAAGAGGTCTTGGTTAATGGCTGGTTCCATACAGGTATTTCATTAGAGTTGTCATAGATTGAATATTAGTTTCAGTACACCAAGAAAATGTATCTCTCATCTGTACCATGTTTCAGGTGATATTGGTGAGTGGCAACCAGATGGAAGCATGAAAGTTATCGACCGCAAGAAAAACATATTTAAGCTCTCACAAGGAGAATATGTAGCAGTTGAAAACTTGGAAAATATTTATGGACTTGTTCCTGCCGTCGATGAAGTAAGTACGCCATTTAATACTATCATATCATCCATGCAAATTCATATTGTGTGATAATATGTGGAACAACCCCATTAGATTGCTCTTGAAAACAGCCCTTTAGGAAAGATGGGAGATTTCAACATATATGGAGGAGAAATGGTCCAAGTTTAGCCGATGTGGGACTTTAACCGAATTTTGTCTTAATATACATCATGAACTAGTCATGTGACTACTAAATATTGTCTTTAGTATATCGTTTTCTCGATTATAATTACATTGTGTTGTTGCCGGAAAAGGTTTTGCACGACCCTCCAAGCCCCCACTTTACTGGTCATTGTGGAGAGGTAAATCGCAATGTCTTGAGGCAGGTGGGCAATGCCATATCTGAACCTGAGACCTTGTTGGGGACAATTCAACTTCATGTGGTTAATTATATTGAATTGAACTGTTGCTAACGGTTGTAATGTTTCTATCAAGCGACATGAAGTACTATTTGGTTCTGATTTTCAGATATGGATATACGGAAATAGCTTTGAGTCTTGTCTGGTTGCTGTGGTACACCCAAATAAGCACGCAATTGAAAGCTGGGCGCATGCATATGATATATCTGGAGATTTTGCTTCTTTGTGTGAAAATCCCAAGGCTAAAGACTACATACTTGGAGAGCTAAATAGGATCGGAAAAGAGAAAAAGGTTATCCTCTATACTTCTTGGTTGGGTTCACGTGAGACCACAAAATAACATTGAAACTTCACAGGAGAACATTGTGAATGTATGAAAAACACCGAAACTTCACAGCAAAAACACTGTAAAGGTCCTTTACTGTGTTTTTGCTGTGAATGTGGTCCAACGGATCACACGAAAACAATCTGATCTCACATGATCCCAAGTCTTATGTTACTTTTAACAATTATTACCTTTAAACAAAACAAACCTGGTATATCCCACTCGGAAGTAGGGTGTAGTTGAGTGGTATGTAAGCAGACTTGCCCTGCCCTCTACTCCAAAGATTAGAACTATCATTTCGTAAAAACCTTAAAAAGGTGTAAGCGAAAAGTTAAGAAGAACTAAGATCGATTAATAATTGCTTTTTGCAGAGAGGCAAATAATTGTTTTTGCTTCTAACACACCGCAAGTGCAATGTGGATCACTTTGGGTGCGTTGATTTGTAGTGTCGTTTCATAAATAAACAGTAATTAATATCTTATGAATCTTTCGCAAATGTAACAATTGTGTTGCAGCTAAAAGGGTTTGAGTTCATTAAAGCGATGCACCTCGACCCTGTACCTTTTGACATCGATCGGGACCTTGTCACGCCGACATTGAAGAAGAAAAGGCCCCAGTTGCTCAAATATTACCAGGTACGTAATATCCTTTTTAGGAAGATGACTCAGGATATTAATTGTTCATGTCATTCGTATTTGTCAAAACTTCATTACCTGTTGATCGGTCTATCGTCGTTCTATTATAATCAAAGGGTATTGGCCAACGGTACCCGGATTGCTGGTACACCTCAAAAAGGCCTCAAGATATATATGCATTTGTCATATCATCTCCAACAAGTTCTTCAAAATTTCACTATAATGAAGAATAAAAAGTCAAAATCTTTAAAAACTTCTCCATGTCGATTATGTTATGTTATTTAAGTATTCTATACATTTAATAATATATTTTATTTTTTTGCTAAACATTTAATTTCAAAATGGTGATGGAAGTTTCCAAATTTGGGGAATGTCTGGGTTGTTTGTTTACCTCTTAATAGTTCCATTAAGATGCAATTTCTGAATCGTTAAGAGGTGAATCTTGTTTGGCAAAAGAAAAGTCTGCCTCTTAATGGTTCTAAAACCCTCTGAATGATTTTGTATCCTGGATCTCCCTTAACCATTAAGCGCCATAATTTCATTGTACACAATTACCAAATAATTATATTTCATTTTGTATTTTATCATGAGAGCATCTTAATCATTTTGCACCAAACCATTCGGCAATTATCAAACAGCTCCTCAACCACTCGGTTTATCCATTTTGAAGAATCTTGTTTATTTTCAATTTACATTTGCAATGTTATTATTTATGTTAAGTGAGATGGTTGAATGACTAATAAAAGACGTATTTGTTGCAGAGTAGAATTGATGATATGTACAAGAGTATTAAGAAGTGAAGGCCTTCTTTCCTCGCATTCAAATAACACCTCCATTTCTTTGTTTTTGCAAATTCTTTTGGTCATTATGTTTTCGCATTAGATCCTTCCCACACACGTTTTAGTTAGTGGATTATAATTTCTTTGTCAGAAAAAGAACGGTGTTAGAATTTTCAGAATCGAAGTTGTAATCAACATTTTTACAAGTTTATCTTTATTAGAATAAGTAGTTGTGGATTCTACATATATTTAATACTAACAACCACCTTGAAACATTCAAACGAATGATATTTTAGTTTTGAAAGCGAGTTGGCTCAAACAAGAATGACGACCAAATCAAACTTGATTATGGCACGACCTAGTTTGTAGCCTGCATGCCTTTGCATTTACTGTGTTTCGTAGTTAGATGTGATTTGACTATTCTCTTGTTTTGATTTTGTTCTTGTTCGAATTTGTTATTCCATTAAATTCAAATTTGACAGGTCACTTGATTTTTGCATCATATAGAAATCATTCATCAAACCACAATAACGTTTACAATTCTCTCTTAATTTTTAGATATGCCGATAATGGATTCATCCTCCACTGTTTATCCATACAAAGTTCTCAAATAAAATAGGAATGTTGAAGGAAATGTAAACCAAAAACCCATTTTTCTCAAAGGGCACACCAAACCAACCATAAACCTTATGCCAGGGAAAGCGTCTCTCTTTCGGGGGCTTCAATTAAAAAGGCTAAAAGAAAAGCCGCTTACTTAGACCCTACATTCTTTTTTAATTTCTTGACTATATATTGGATATTGACTCCATTATAAAGATGGACGAATTTTTATCAAATTGCTAGTGTCTTAGCACCAATTTACAAGAAGACGACTGCAGAAAGAAATTTTTTTCAACTCTATCCTTAAAATTTCTACTTTGGGTGGCGAGTGATGCAGCAAAACTGCCGACATACAAACAAGTGATTCCACTATGAACCGAAAAGAACAATGTTATCTACTTGCTACAAGTTTCGAGTAACAAGCGATTAACCATTTAAACAACTGTACTTGATCTTCCATCACAATCTAACCGTCCGATACTAACAAAAAACTATAGTTTGCATGGTTTACGACCTCTTTTGTTCAAAGTTGCAAATTTCTGAAATACAATTAGTTTGACAAACCAGTCATTCAGAAAAGGAATAGGTTTACATCCAACAACGACAACAACAACAATCACTTTACCTGTCATATTTCTAATTGGGTGGCGTAGCCAAATCACTGAGGGGAACAACTGAAGTAGATGCAAACTGCAGCGATAGTAGCTCTGCTCTGCTATATTTCAACCTCTCATCTGTTACAAATCATCGATAAAATTTGTAAAAAGGTATTATTTTACGATTAATGGTAAGGAAGAAACTTGGTTGTCATCCAATCATGTGTGGGTTATAGACTTGTAGTAAATAATGCTAAAAGTGTTAAAAAGGCAAACTAGGTGGTCCAGTTGCCTTCTAACACTTTGTAAGTGAACAAATATGCAATTCCTTTTGATATGTAAAATATAATCTTTCAAATCATGTAAGCATATGAGAATTCAAAGAAGTTTTACTATATTAACTTGATAACAATAGTTTTCCAAGTAGCTAATTTCATTGTCTCAATGGTCACCTAAGCATGTGAAAAAGCTCCTGACAAGAAAAATCCTCTTTTTTGCTTGCGCAGTTACAAGCTTTCAATAACCTTGTTTTTTGCTTGTGGGTCCCACTTTTTTTGGAAAAAATTTAGAAAACGCTCTGATGAAAAAGTCCAGTGTGGATGCTCAGCAGGAAAATTAAAAACATTAATTTTTTATCGTTTTCTGGTCTAGAAATATCAACTTTTAAGGATTGTTGACATACCTATGATGGTAGTTATTTCAGATTTATGTGGCGAAGCTGAAAATCTTCTCTGCTGTGAAGTCCTCGTAGTTGTATGCAATGGAGAAGGATGTTTGGTGTTTTCACTGTCAGATGGAAACATGTGTACAAGTTCATGCCTTACTTCAATCTCAGGATGGCGCTGAAGAAATGACATGATAACATCCTTGGTTAATAGCCAACACCCAGTTAAGTCCAGCACTTGTAGCAATGATGGAGGATTGAAGGAATCAATTCCTGCATTTGTTAGAACAGCATCTCGCATGGTGAGAGTTATCAACTTTGGAATAGATGACAGGTGGTGCAATGATGCATCTGTTAGGAAACTGCTTCTGAGCGAGAGATGATTAAGTTCTTTGAAGCTCGATAACGGAGTGACAGCTTCATCCCTAAGTGGGGTTTCTTCCAAATCTAATTTCTCTAATTGCTTGAGATTTTCAAGTGCTGTCAATGAGAGATCACATTCTGCATCCCTACCACTCGGTTGAATGACTTGAATCAGACCTGGTGAGTAAAGTAATCAGTTAAATATCATGTATATATATAGGGGAATATGCAACAAAGCTTGACTTGGTTCCTATTTAGCATAACAAAGAATTCTTTTTCTCAATCAATGTAACAAAGATAAAAAAAATCCTATTTTTTACCCATTTTGACCCGTACCCTGCTGATCTTGTAACACTTGATTACGTGGATGTCAAGTTTATTCACATCATTAAATGTTACAAAGATCAAAACGTTACCAGTCAAAGGTGTGCAAAATAGGAAAATTTTAAACTTTTTTGCATTTTGATGCATTTTGCTGAGAGAATGAGAGAAACTAGAACACTGATGAAATGTGGGCTTTGGCATCCCTCGGTCTTCTTTTTGGATTGCTTGCAGAAAACTGAAAAATGCAAATGACCAAAATCGATGAGATTATACCTCTAACATTTGTACCCTTCATGTTGACAACTTTTAGGGAAGGGATCATGCCGATGTATGAGATAGCAAGATCATCGGTTGGTGTGGAAGACAATGATATAGTTTCAAGTTTCGGAACGTGCCCAGGTAAGATCGCAACTCCAGCTGAGCTCACTCTCGTATTGCTCAGATTCAAAGTTTTCAAATTTGCTCCTACAGATGCTACAAATTCGAGTGAATCATCTCCAATAAGGTTACCACTGAGATCCAAATATTCTAGGGAATGCATGCAAGACAAAAAAGAGAGGTCATGAAGAGAGGAGTTAGATAGGTCTAAGAAAGATAGGCAGCTGGAATCGAAGTATGAAAAGGCTCTGGTGATATCTTTGAACAAAGCTCCGGCAAGTATAAACTTAGATAATCGAGCCTTATTGCCTTCTCCTTTAAACAGAGAATGTATAGTACAATTGCTCATGTTTAGGCATGCAATGGAGCTCACATTTGGCAACACCGCGACCTTGGTCCAAGCCAGGTTTAGAAAGTTCAGATTTGGAAAAGTCACAAGAATAGCTGCACCATCATTGGAGATATCACTTCCCCAGACATCAAGGTACTGTAGATTTGTCAAAACCTAAAAAGAATGCAATAGATGAGCGTTACAGAAGCATACTTATCGACATCTTCAGGAATTGCATGGTGTAAAACAAAGGGTACAACTTTAAGGAAAATGCCATGTTGAGTTATCAAATGGTGGTTGCTCATAAATATCTTTCATTTGGAAGGGTGTCCCGGGCTATGCCCAGACTAATCCCGGCAAATTGCGGCTGTAAGACATCAGCCCTGATAAACTCAGTTGCCACAATTGTTGTGGATGCCTGGAATTAAACCAGGGCAGATGGGACATTCCATCACATCCCCCCTGGGCCTCAACCACGCCACAACCCTTGTGGTTTGCTTATAAACATTGCTGTCCAGTTAAAAATCAAAATCTTACTAGTGAAGAGCTTAATGTAATTAAACATGTTTAGTACTTAAGTCAGAAGCGTACTAAATTATAACTTGTTACTAAAAACGCGTTTACAGAAAGAAAAGTAGAGACACGAAGGGAAAAAGGAGAGCATAAACATACTATCAAGACGCACACTGAAAGGATTGAACATAATATGTTTTACTAATGCAGAAGAGAAAAAGAATACCTGAAGAGATACAAGGGCCACGTCATTAATAAACAAGCCACCCAAGTCCAACTTCGATAATTTCTTAAGCGAAGAGAGAAGTGTAACTCCATTTGTGGTGACACTTGTTTCTGATATGCTTAACCTTTCAATAGTTTGTATAGACAGAAGATGTTTAATGCCGGCATCATTAACTTTAGAGCATCTAGAAAGGTCCACCTCCATTAGATAATTCATACCTGAAAGAAGACCCGAAGAAAGAGTGTATTCATGAAACTTGTATTGAACAAAGGATTAGCACCCTCTCCACTTATATTTATAGATTCAGAGATTTTGCTAAATCTATTATGCATTTGTACTCTAATAAGCTTTGTAGAGCATGTATGCTGAAACACGAGCAAATAAGTAATCTTCACCCTCTACGGAGTATGGACAATTAGTAAACTGATTTAAATTGCAGGCATAATGATAAGATGTCATACATCCTGACTGGATCGTAATACTTTGGAATGTAGGTGTTTATGGGAAAACTTAATTCAAATTCAATAAAAGTAAACAGGAAAAGAGAATCAATAAAAGATCATCGTACAAAGAGAACTAATAAAAGAAGAAAGGCCACTAATGCCATGGTGTGTTACTACAAGGAATCAAGTTTGAAAAGATGACAAAAGAATGCATATGGCATACCTGAGAGAGCCCAAAGTGCAGAACTGTTGATTCTATGACAATCAGAAACATTTAAAGAGTACAAGTATTGAAAGGCGCCCAGATATGCCATCCATTCTGCATCAACAGAGCTCTCACCTCTCAGATCAACCTTCTCTACACTGTATTTGAACACTCTACACAAAATATTGAAATTTTACCTAAATCAATAAATTTACTAGGTTTGAATACAGGGTGACATAAATATTAGAATAAACCAAACGAACCCAGTATATCCTACTCAAAAGTAATATAAGAATGATGACATATAAAAGATATTACTGCAAGTGAATCTACTTTACAACTAATAGTACTTGCATTAACAACAATATGGCTTATTTATTGACCAGAAGACAACCAACAAAAAATCAATAGTTAGTAACAGATTATATACATCAAAGAGCTGTACATCATAAGTTGTCATAAGAAAATATAAAGAATTCCCTAACAGGATAATTAACACACAAACAAATCAATCAAAAAAACGACTGCAGCAAAGCTTGAGATATAGGGATTCAGCTGATTTATGAGAATTCAGAAGTTTCTAATAACATATTCCAATTTCAGATATCTCATGTATAAAAGATCTTTTAAATCAAGTTGGAAAATCTTGAAAGTAAATATTCTGCCTCGCTAGGATATCTTCCTATTCTAATTGTCAGCATCGCAAGATCACAATTTGCATATCAACCAAAAGAGCATTTTTATCATATCTCACAAGTAAATCAAGTGAACAACAGACCTATATCCAACTAAGTTATCTGCTGATAGCAATCTAAAACCTAAATAACTAATGAGACTTACGCAATTATGCATCTAAACACGCATATCTTCAAATCAAGTAATGATTTAACCATAACTATATTCCTACTTAACATCACTTGCTTTCGAAAATCATTAGCATTCTCATAGCTGGTACACATGTAACAATCCGTTCAGATGGTAAAATTCCTACATAGTGATGGAGAAAAAACTTACTCTAGAAGAGAAGGATATAGGAGGCGGCGGCTTAGAAGTCGGTGGAGTAGAGCTTCGGCGAGCTGAGATGGCAATCGCTCGAGAGTCCGCCGCTGTCTTCGCCAAGTCTCGACAGCGTCACCGCTTTGTGTGGCCGCTTCGATGCACAGACGAACAAGAGGACTCTCCAATTCCCCTCCTTCCATAAACAAGCTCCGATCCGCCATTGTTTCACTAGATTGAAACTTTCTCGGATCACTAGACAGATTTTCAATTAGGTATTCGTATATTTGCAAAGATTTTATATGAAGAAACCCAATCGGAAGACCGACAATTCTTGCTCGGACGTAATGGTAATGGTAATTGCAGGTTAGGGTAACACTAAATCTGGTAATAAAAACAACGTGTATATATATATATATATATATATATATCCAATCCAATAAGGTACATTAAAATTTGGTATTTATTATCCAATGAAGATAAACTAATCAATTTTAATATTAACGGGGTAATTTAATTAGTATCAATTTAATTGGTATCAATTTAATTGATTGATAGTATCATACCAACTATTTAAATTTGATTGGTATATGATATTATAAATCATATACCACTAGAGGTAAGCATAGACGGATACTCGTCCTATTTGACAGGAACCAGAACCAGTTAAAGCGGTTCTTGAATTTTTGGAACCGGAATTGGAACTGTAGGGAACTGGTTCTGGATACATGCTTCCTAAAATATTAAAATTTTGTTATTTAGAAATAAAAAATAAAACATTGTCAGACCACTAAATAAATAAACAAGAATACAAATTATACGGAATAATGATTACAAATATTGTTTAACGATTACAAATCATATTAGACTAATAGTAAATGTTGAAAGTTTAACGATTACATACTATAATTGTAAATGTTCAAAGTTTAACTATGAATCCAATTAAACACACAATTTAAAAAAATACTAATCATTTTATCTCAGATTCTGAATCTCGTTTCAACTTCTTGCATACTCATCGCATCCTCAACTTCGTACGGTACCTGTGAATAATTGAGTGCTAAAAAAACTACACAAACTTGTAAAAAACTGCACATATTTTAACTAAAAAATGCACATATTTTTAACAAAAAACTACACAAATTTTATATAAAAAACTGCACATATTTTTAACATAAAACAACACAAATTACATAAAAAACTTCACAAATTAAATTTTTTTAATTGAAAAATACCGGGTACCCGGTCCCAGAGGGTAACGGTTCCGAAAAATTGAGAACCGGAATCGGAACCATTCTCAATCGGTTCCGTATTTTAGGAACCAGAACCACTCATATCGGTTCCGGTTTTGAAACCAACAATTTCAAGACAGTTTCGGTTTCGCGAGCGGGTACCAGGTTCCGCTGCTCACCCCTATTAATACCACAATAATATCATACTGTATCAACTTATTTTTAATTAAAGTTTACTTAATAATATGATATATTTTGATTTTTAAATTTTTAATTATCCTCTTTTCAGTTTTTCTTAATTGTAATATATATATATATATATATATATATATATATATATATATTCAACTTGATTATATTCATTCATCTAATACTAAAAACCTTAATAATTATTTCATACCTTCACAATCCATCGTACCTTCTCAATGGCCCAAAATCTTGAAGTATTTATGAATGTTGTAATATATGAAAGTTATTTGAATGCTTATATAGATATGATAAGTGGTTAAACACATATTAATATGTTAATTGAATTCTCGATGGTTTTAGTTTATCTTGATCTAGTTGGTAAAGATGTCAACATATAAAAAATTGTAACTTCAACTTTTACGATATTGGTATAAACCAGTACCAACATGTACCGATTGGAGAAAAAAGGGTATAGTTGGTTAATACATTGTACAAAATTTTGTATATCAATTATGATTCGTTGGTAGCGGTATTTGAAGGAAAAAAAAACATGGTACCATATCATACCATGTTTACCTCAGTGGATTGTTTTTTACACACACTTAAGCCAAAACTTATACCCAGAATCATGATGATTATAGAAAATTTTGTTTCAATTATTAATAAACCAAATGTTAGATCTCTTCGGTGAGACTTTTAGTCCATATACATATGTCATATTGTTATACTTGGATAAGATATATATCTCGACCAATAACCAAAGAAACCAAACGTTTAGGGTGTAAGAAATGCAACCTGCTGCATCATAGAACAAACGGTTTGTGGATATAATTTGTGTTACCAAGATCCTAATACCATCTTCTTGTTGATTAGGCTCAAGCGTGTTCCCTGTATATGGTGATTGAAGAAAATGTCGATGTAATTTCCCTTGGATTTGTGCACAAACGGAGAAAGTCTTTGTGTTTCTTTTGTTACTTTCAATTTTGATCTTAAAGACATAGTGGTCCTTGGGTAAACGAGTTAAACAAGCTTTGAGAGCATCAAGTTGCATCCTGATTTCACGCAGCAATATCCATACACAGATTTTAAGAGTATCTCCAACAGATTTTCTAATATAGAACATCTCCGACCATTGTTCCCAAAATCCACCGCCGTATACGTTGCCCTCCATGAGATTCGGAGATCCAAGTTTGATGGATCAAGCAGAATGTAACACCCTAAAACTTAAAACGAGGTAAAACATTTCATACCACTTGAAATTTCAACAAACATAAAGCAGCTTAAACCCATGAAGGGAAAGTGCGCCAAATAGCACCAAATTCAAGAACTGAGACATAAATAACAACCTAATAATCTAATTTCAAAAGGAACTAGATTATAGTCGGGTGTTATTATATGTTCCAAAAATTCAGCATCCATTCGAGTGCTTCCCGAAACGTCTACCCCTTGATGCCTCTAAGTAGCATCAACCAAGTCCCTTAGGCGGTTTTAGATCCGCCACTAGCCCACTCACTAGCAAGACCTAGAAATCACATAATCAAGAACAAGTATTACGCTTAACGCCTAGTGAGATCACCCACAAAAATAACTCTTAAGGTAGATAAGAGAAATAAAAAGTGTTACCTAATCCGCAATAATGGTACAATACTGTGTACCACAACAGGTTGTCCCTACCTGGACATTGTACACACAAAGTACCTCTCAATAATGGGGGAGACCCGTTTCCATCAATGTGGCGGGAACACAAAAGCATTACTACATAATGATGTTATTGGGACTATACTCAGTTTTAGTCTCATTCATGGTGTCACTTCAAACCCACATTTACCCTTAGTGTCTACTCCAAAGAGTTCCACCTCAAGGAGTCTTTTTGTCCACCCATTCCTCTAGCCAAATTTCACCTCAAAGTAAAAGTGTCGTAACTCACCATAACGCATTACAATGGAGCCACAAGGGTTAACATGGCGGCAAACCCAAGCCCTGACACCATAACAAGTCCATAACGAGTTTTTTTTTCCAAACCATGCGGTTTGAAATGAAGTGTCCAGACCGGTCAAACCAGACAACAAAAATACAATATAGATACGGCGATCAAGTCATGTTGCACAATCTATATTCATATTGCAGACTAAGGAGATGTTGCCAAATTTACAGCAGCATAACACAAAGAAACAAACAACTTCAAAGCTGTTTTGAAGTAAAAAAAAAAGACATAACAAAGCACTGAAAACAAAAAACACGACTCTGAAATCTCTCTGTTTACCCTGTTGAGAGGTATAATTTTCTTGTATACTTACTCAACTTCATAATGTCACTCACTTTCCATATTTAGAAAAAAAAGACCTAATGAAGGAGGAGGAGAAAGAGGATGAGCACTTGTAATAAACTCTCTTCACTCCTTTCTTCCTCCATTCTTCAGACCTTATTTAAAACACCGGAAAAAAAAACCCGAAAGTTGCACCTAAATTCAGTGACTTCTCGAGGAGTTTTAGCTTTTAGTATACCTGCACAATTCTCACAAACCCCATAAAATCGTAGCTTGTTTGAATGCGTTTATCACTCATTTGAACTTCAATCTTGATTTAGGCCAATGTGTAGCTTGAGACCGAGACTTCTGCTTGAGGAGCAGTATGGATGTACACAAACTCGATGCTTTTGCCTGCTGCTAATGAGCTTACCCATGTTGGGAACCCGTAGGAACCTCCGGTGGTCTTGGTGAGACCCCAGATTGGACCGTAGAGTTTGGAAACTGAGAGGTTCAGGTTCTTGATGGTCTTGCCTGATTTGTTGGTTACTATAGCTGAGTATCTGTAGTATGTTTTTCCATTAGCTACCCATGAAGTTGTAGCCTTTTGTGTGATTGCAACTGGAGCTACAAAACAGAGAAAGTTTTTGAGTCAGAATCATTCGTAAAGTAAGGCCCATTTACGTAACATATTGAAGGCTGCAACAACTTTGAACTATTGGTAAATTAAACCAAACAAGCCAAGTATATCGCACCCAAAGGTGGAGTTGGGGTGAGATGTACGTACACGGTACACCCAACCTCTACCCTCAAAGAATATAGTAGTTGTTTCCATAAAGACCCGTATTTGATAAAATGGGTAACCTCCAATATTCCGAAATTTTCAAACTTTATTAAGAAAAACACGATACCTGCAAATGGGGATACTCTAGCTTTTGGTGTAGGCATTGGTTGAACAGCAGGTTTATGAATTAGAGGAACTTCAACTGCAAAGATATCAAAGTTGCTATAAAATTCAAAGACAAAAAGGGTATTGATGACATTTCAAGCGCAATGAAATCTACCTGGAAGGAGCTGGTTATGACCACCATGACCCCCGTGTAGCCGAGCCAAGACACCAAGAAGTGGTGCATTGTTATAAGTAGCAGGCTCAGTCTGCTCGTAATTGTCCCTTTGGTCCGCAAAGTTGTCATAGGCATCAGGACCACCAACAATGGCACCAGTCAAAAGATTCGGGTCGCTTGCTTTTCGGCTAAACCACGTAGCATAGCCACCTCTGCAGCTAACGAACGATGGGTTAACCTTAATCGACACAATGGAGGAACCACGGTGGTGAACTTGTTGAGGGAAGTTGTTTCCATATCCAACCATATAGCTTGTTGCTCTTGGGTTGTCTCCAAGAATATAATCCACCTTAAATAACATAAAAAAAAGGTCACATTTTGTAATCTTTTTTATTCTATAAATAATCTCGAAATAAATCAAACTTTTGTTCACCTGAGACTTGGCAAATGCAAGAAGCTCGGAGGGGGCAACACTGCCGGAAGCACAGTGCAAGTCTTTCCGGGCAGAAGTCAGGTAGTCGGAATACACAGAGAGAAGGAAAGACGCACTTGTGACAAACTGCAAGTTGTTCCATCGCTGCCGGAAAATGAGACCTCCGGGAGTCCTTTGAACATTGTGGTTACTCTTGCCCATGCATGAACACATGAACATCTCCGCCTTTTCTTGGTATTTCCCGAACACTGCCGAGTTACTGCCAGCTTTCCCTCCCATCAAAAACTACGTACAATAGGTAATTTAGCAAACTTACTTAAGTGTTACGATGTTTTCAAGACTTTTACCTAAATGTTTTATAACACAGTAAAAATTAACCGTAACTTTTTTTTTTACCTTGGCAACAAGGGTCTGAACGCCGGCGTACTTAACGTCCCAACCGAACTCGGTCATGGCCCACCCGGTCCCGCCGAGAGCATCGCCATTTTCACCAAGGTAGTTCAAGTAATACGGTTCATTTGTTGCCTTGTACAACCAAGCAGCTGCCCAAAGTAATTCATCCTGTTTTTTCAAAAAAAAAAACAAAAACAAAAATAGAAAATGAGAAGGGTAAATATGTAATTAAGGAAAGGGGTTAAGTTAAGTGGTGTGATGACGTACGGCGTATCCACTGACAGATCTGTAGTATTTCTGGGCCACGGAGATGCTGCTGTCATATTTGCCCCTGTATTTGTCGGCAAATTCGAAGAGCTGGAAAGAAAGATGCAGGGGTAAGATTGGAAATTAATGAGAGTATGCATTGATGGGTTGTACGCTACTAGCACCGACAGGAGGAGTGTCACGTGGCAAGCGGTATTTATTTGCTTTTCAGCTGAATAAATTTAAATCGGTTGTGTGAGCCCACACTATCCGTGATAGACGGCACGGCAACCACACCCAACACCTTTCAATATAACTTCAAGTTTTACCTTTTTCCATTTTTCACCTATTTATTTTCAGAAATATGTCTTTCTAATAAAATATTTAATTATTTTATCTTTTTCTATTACTATTTTTTATATTTTATTAATATTCGCCAGACAAAAACAAGAATGCTTTTTTTTAAATTATAATACAATTTAAATCCAAAATTGTTGTTTTATAACTTAAAAAAATTAAAACATTCAACACCATGAGTGTTCTTTATTAATTGTGTCATTTTGACTTTATTCAAATCACTATGTTTTAATTTAAAAATTATAATATTAACTTGATGTGTAATTTAATAAATATATTTTCTTAATAATGACAAAAATAAAGTTTTAAAGTCAAAAAAAATACAACAACAAATACAGATCAAGATATTTAATTTCAATTTTTTAAGTATATTTTTAAACACCATTATTTTGTCACTATGTATCCAAAATTATATATATATATATATATATATATATATATTATGTGAAACAAAAATACAGAGTTGCAGGGACCATACAGTAAGTAAATGTACTTTTAGCACATAAATGGACACTGCACATGTGAGTGTATAACGGATTTGTAATGTAAATTGAAATACTTGTATTTTATGCACAAAAGACTTGTACATCGAGTATGAAAGCATAATCACTTAAATAACCTTAACAACCACCCTGACACTTTACTCATAAAACATTGACTGTCTCTATTATTTTTAAACCGCTTCACTAATCTACGCCACCCTTCTTCTCTATCATACGCCAAAAGAAAATTGTGCATATTTTTTTATTTTATTTTTATATGGTTTATCTGTAATTTTTTTATACCAAATATAACTAGTTTATCAGCTATGTTATAAGCCAGTTTGATAGAAATAGGGAATGTCATGCGCATCTCTTTTTTATGGGAAGACTAATTGAACCTTTTCATGTATGACTTGATCTGATTCTGACATTAAAAATGGTGCAAATAACATTATTTCTTTTTATTTTAGAATCATATTAAATCATGCTTTAAGATGCAAAAGTAAATCTTGATGTTGATATGTGAACTGAAAATTAATAAGTAGTGGTGTATTTAAGGGGTGTTTGGGATTGCTTATTTAAAACAACTTTATGTTTTTTTTGTAAAAATGCTTAATAACTTATGTGATATCAAAACAAAGTTTGGTAAAAAAAATGTTTGGATTAGCTTATAGCGGTACCAAAAAGAAATAAGCTGATAAGTTGTTTTTTAGTGTTTGACAAATTTTTTCTTATATATATAAAATGACGGAAAAAAACAATCTTCCATATTATTGACAAAAATTTATATCAATAAGATCAAAAATTAACAAACATTAATAAAAACATGGTTAAAATGGTAATAAACAGTTTTTCACAAGTCAGAAATAATTAACTTATCAAAAACTGCTTATTACCGGTTTGGCACCGATATAAACAGTTTTATTTTTCCTCATCCAAATACTAGCATTTAGATTATCACCGATAAAAAACTGAAATAAGTCAAAAAACACCTAAAATAAACAATCCCAAACACCCCCTTAAATAATCGAAAAGAGTGCAATAATTAGTTGTACGTTTGTGCTATTATGACTTGTACCATCTCAACTGAAAGGGACAAAAAGGGGTAACTATGGGAAAGCATGAAAGATAGAAAGCAAACGGACCTGGTGGGCATGAGTGAGGAGTTCTCTGGAATAGGCGGGGTTAGAGTGGCGGTACACGATGGAAGCGGCGGCCATGGCGGCAGCGGTTTCTCCGGCAAGGTCGGATCCAGGATTGTTTTGGTCAATTCTGTAAGCACTTCGTGAAGTGGTCATATCCTCTGGCCTTTGCCAACAATAATGGTCTGTGTTACCATCTCCTACCTAAATCAATCAACATCAATTTCGTTAACACAAACCCCTAAAAAATGGATTCAAAACATGTTTCAACCAACAATAATTTGAACGAATTTGGGTGACAATTACTTCTCCATATAGAACATGAGGTTGAGGGTGAGCTTTTATGAGGTAATCAGTTCCCCACTTAACGGCATCCATGGCGTGACCGAGTTCGCCACTAGACGCCATTTGCGAGCCATACTCTAGAATGCTCCAAGACATCATCGTGACGGTGAACGCCATTGGAAGCCCAAACTTCACATTATCACCTGCATCATAATAACCTCCGACCAGATCCACCTTCATAACAAAAAATCATCAACACATTAGTTCATAGAAAACCCTAATTTCACGTTCCATTGAAAATTCTGAAGAATAAGGAAGAACAGGAGAAGGTGAATTACCCCATTGGGCTTGCCATCATAGAGACCAGAGTTTCCTCTCCATTTGACTCTTTGATTATCAGGGAGATAACCAGATCTCTGAGCTTCAAAGAAGAGAATGCTCTTGGTGAGTGCTTGGCCATAATCATGTCCACCTGCTAAAGCCAGAGGTACAATCCCAATAAGCAGAAACAGAGTAGCTCCCATTCTTATGAAATTCTCCATTAAAACTGAATTCGAAACAAAAAAAAACACAATGGGATGCGTTCACTCGACAATGTTCGATTGGTTTATCAGTTTAAAATCGTCTGATAAACCAATTCCAGAAAGAGAGATGGAAAGGGGAAGAGTTTGTGAAGAAAGAAGAGGAAAAGAGTGAGTATATATGGAGAGTGGAAGAGAAGGTGTCTCATATGAACACATACCCATAATTTGTATATAAATTTAATTAATAAATGAAACTCATTAAATTTCAACGGTTATAATTAATGTTTTAAAATGTTAAAAACCAAATAATTATTTGATGGCCGTTTTTGAATTATTATTATTTTAATTTTAAATTTTTTTAATTAACCTGGATATCCAACTTGTTATGCGAGCCGACTAATCTTAGGATAATCATCTGTTTTGTAGATAGTTTGGAGTCATCACATTTAAAGTTTTTGACATTTTTAAATTTAATTAATGAGATAAGGAAAATAGAAAGGGACAGAACAAAAGCATGTGGGTTTTGGTTGATTTCATTTCCTGCGAAGGATCGGTGTTGGAACAGAATTTAATTTTATATTTCCAATTAAATCGTAGGAGTTAATTGCTGCACAAAATCCGGAAGAATAAATTACTCTCCAAATATATCCATTTTTTAATTTTCAAAATCATTTTTATGATGTTTTAATTATTAAATACCGTATTTTAATAAGTCTGATTGAAATTGTAAAGACCGTCGGAAATCTCTTATTAGTTTAAAGCCTGCTCCTACGGCTTGCCTTTTTAAAGATACTGTTTGGCTCGACCCGAGGGAGGGGACGATGAATACACTGATTATTTGGGTCCGATCGTGCAAAAGTCACACAAACCAGATCATTGTTAAATTAATAGATTCTTTAGACAGTGAAAAACATCTTCAAAAAATTTAAAAAATAGAGAATAGAATGTCAAAATCTTTATGAGAAATTTAATTCGAATTCAAGGTATTATTTATAATTTTTTTAAATATAGATCAGAAAGTCAAAATCTTTATAAGGAATTGTATTTAAGTTCAATAGATTGTTTATAATCTTTTTAAAGACAGAGTTCAAAAAGTCAAAATCTGTATAAGGAATTGATTTTAAGTCCAAACAGATTTAGAAAAATGTTACAGTACATAACCAAAAGTTAAAATCTCTATAAAGATTAGTACTTATGGTGCGTTTGGTACGCAAACAGGACAGGACATGACAATTGTTCAGCGTTTGGTAAGACATGACAGGACTATACAGAACTGGTTAACATGACCAATTTACCCTTAATGAGCTGTTTAATGTTTTTTTTCCCACTAATTAATCAATATAAATGTTAACAAATACAATGTGCAAAGTATAACTTATATCAAACCACTACTACTTGCAAAAATACATTTGCAAAAATATATTTGCAAAAATACATGATTTCATAATCAACTAATGATATATGAAAAAAGTAAATATAATATAAGCATCAAGAATCCATTATCGAAGCAAATCTATATGCATTACATACTAAGAAAAAAACTACTACCAGCAAGTGCAAAATCAATTAAAATAGATTAAATATCAAATAGTAAATAAAATATAAGCATAAAAAAAACAATTTGGCTAGTGATCCAATATAGTATCATCACATTCACAAAACTTGGATTCCAGAAAACAAAGTAATTCACCTTTCACCTGTATAATCACTCTTGTAAGATCAAAATCAAATATTTACTACTCTGATCAAGGAAAACATATAAAACTCATCGAAAACAACAAATTGCATGCGTGAACCTTACGCAATACGTTTGATGGTGAAAAATCAAGAAAACAATTTATGTAATTTATTAAATTATAATAGAATAATATTTTTTATAACAAAATATATCATTTGAAATTTTCGTCAAAACAATTGAAATGACACCAAATAAAAAGTTTATGTGGTTTTCTACTTTTATTTTTATCTCTTTTCTACATTATTTTATTATTATTAATATATAATAAATTACATAAATTAATAAAAATATAAAAACCGTATAAAAATAATATTTTGAGAACATTAAAATGAAAGTTTAAGAAAAACAAAATACAATAAATAAAATTTAAAGAATTAATAAAATGTAAAATAGAGACTTATTTGATATTTTAGAAGATAATTAAGTTTTATTTGGAGGTTACATTGGTAAAATATAAGTCTGTTCCACCATGTTCCATGGGGTAGGGGTGGAACAAGCCTGTTCCACTATGTTCCTGTCTGTTCCACATAAAATTCATGCCAAACATGGGACATGGATCCTTGTCTTGTCTCTGTCCAGTGTACCAAACGCACCCTTAAGGGGGTGTATGGGATTGCTTATCTAACAATTTTTTTTTTGGTAAAAGTGCTTATCAACTTACATGGTGTCAAAAATAGGAGTTTTATAATGTTTGGATTAACTTATGACGGTTCCAAAACTGATAATGGAGCTGGTTTTGTAACAGAGTTTTGGTTATAACTACTTTTCAGTAGTTAATTGTAAGTAGTGGGAGGCTTTATCTGTTATAAATAGAGACATCTGTTTTGTAATGGATTCATTCAAAAATATACAATAAACTTTAATTCTCTATTATATTTTCTCCTCTAATCTTTCCTCACAATGTTCTCATTAGCAGAGAGCTCAGTTCCTGCAACATCGGTATCAGAGCCTTGATTCCATATTTTGTTAGTTTCTTCGGTAGAACAAGCAATTCTGGCTCCACCGATAACGAGAAAATCGGTAGGGATGGAAGAACAAATGAAAACCCTAGAAAAGAAAATTGAGGATCAAAACAAGCGATTGAAGATCAAAGTCAAAATACGAAAATTGTAGTTTACTCTAATTTTTTTAAAATACAAAACAAAAGTCAAAAATCTCTTTAAAGAATTGCAATTAAGTCCAACATATTTTCTGTAATTTTTTTAAATAAAGAATCAAAAGTCAAAATCTCAATAAGGAATAACATTTAACTCCTGGCAGATTTTCTATTTTAGAGATTTCAACATCCATTATATTATTAAAAAAATTATAAATTTATCATTCCAATAGACTTTTAAAAAATATCTATACTATATTATAAAGCATTTGACAAAAACTCTTAAAAACCATTATTTATGCATGAAGTGCTGTTTATTAATGCATATTACTTAAAATTTAAGATTACAAGTAAACTGTGCGTTAGTACGATTTATTAAAGATGCATTTTTGAATTTGTATAACTAACTGCAGATAAACATAATTAAATTCCGGATAAATATCTTATTTTAAATATAAATTTTTTAAAATATAATTAGAATAATTATTGAGTTATAACAGAATTCTTAATTATTATTCTTATAAAAAATCATATTATTAAATCATAAACAAATTACTTTGTTATTAAATCTAAACTAATTTACACAAAACAACAATAACTTTTAAATTGTTACTTTGATACTAATTTTGATATATTTATTTTCGAATTTTTATGATATTTTTAAATTTATATTTTATTCAAAAATAAAAACATTATCCCTTTCTCAAAACCATATAAAAACCGTATTATAATGTATTCAGAGAATGAAGAAAACGAAATATTAAAATTGAGATATATCTCACTGCATTGCGTGAATACTTTTCTAGTTTTATATAAAATAACAATAATTCAATCTTATTGATGGATATAAATAAAAACATTAACTTGTTTCTCGATTTTAAATAACACAGACAACAAAACCATATTTTCTCCTTTTTAGTGCATTTTTAAATAAAATATAAAAATAGATGTTTTTATTTAAGGATGACTTTTGAAATGCAATAGAGATAGTGTATTTTTCTTTAATTCTAATAACAATATTACTTAAGGATATTAATAGAAATTGTCATTTTTAGACTATCTTTAAGTAATTTCTCATTGTAATTTTCAAAAATATTACTAGGTGTGTAAGTAGGGGTGCTCAAAAAGCCGATCAACCCAACCTAACACAATCTAACGTGAACTAACTCAACTTGAAATAACTCGATGTCTAATCGAGTTATAAAATTTTCAAAACTTAGGCATTGGCTTGATATTGGATTACTATTATTTGAACTCGATGAACCCGATATTTATTTATTTCTTGGATTTAATATGATTATTGAATTTCTATTAATATATACGTTAGACAATTATACTATCACGTAAGCTCTTCATATACATATATTTTCAATCTATTCATATTTCTATATAATTCATTCGTATATATGTTCAGTAACTATGAATATATATATAACATAAATTGATAAAATTAACTGAATGTGATATACGTAAGAAATATGAATAAGTTGTATCAAATGGTTGATGATGAAAAATAAATTATAAGTAGAGAAATAACATATTCATGTTAGAAAAATATTTTAATGTATCAACCCGACCAAAACGTACGGTTTGAGTTGGGTTGGGTTGCACTTTGGCTTAGGTTAAGATTTTTCAAACCACAAGAATTGGGTTGCATTGTTCAAATGTTTTCAACCCAATCAACACAACTCATTAACACTCCTACCCGCAAGTGCCACATTCTCAATTTATGGAAGGATCAAATGTAAGAAAAAAAAAGGGGTTTATGAATCAGATCCGCAAGTATAGGAACCAAACTGTAAGTTAGATAAAGGTTTGACACCTCTATCACTGTGAAAGTGTCAGGACTAATTTACAGATTTGGTCACTATACTTGCAGACCTGGTTTAGATTTTTTTTCACACTTTAACCTCTCTATAAATTAAGGAGGTGGCACTAACAGATGTAGTATATTTTTATTGAAAAAAATAACTAAGAAATGAATTAAAAGTCTGAAAATAACTATTTTAATTAATTTCCTTATTACTTATTTTAGGACATGTTTTTTGTAAATAGTATGTGTTTTAAATATGAGCAACTTTCATTAAATCTATATTAATGGCATTTCTAAAAAAGTAGTTACTTTTTTTATGATAATAAGTTTTATATAAATTTTAGAATATAATTTGGTTTTTAACATTACAAGTTTACTTAAATCTTTCTTTATTGAAAAAGTATTGTGTATTTTACCATTTTTTTTATATAATTAAAAGACCATATTATATATAGAGAG